AGGAGAGAAGAACCACATCAGCAAATACATCAGCAGAAAGCAAGAGTAAATCCAGTGTTCTTGCTAGCGGGTGCACATCAATGAACACATACAACATATTCTAATTTCGTGTATTAAACAATATACCAAGGAGTAGTATTTATCTGCTGAAATGTTAAATTTATTCCAGCACGGAAACTTTTTCTCGGTATATTTATTTTTAAGTAGTACTATACATTTTTATTAAATTTATTAACTTGATCCAATAGTGATTTCCTAATGTATTTGTGTTTAGAGTTAATAGGCAAATTCTTGTTCCTGAACCGCATCAACATTTACCTCCTTCAGAGTCACATTGCCCACTATGTCTTTCCCCGCGTGTTCACTGCCCATAGGGCATCTCGCTACCCTCAGAAGAAACCATGTACTGCTGGGGGTGCGTAGGCTAAACTTAAACGTCCTGATTTAAACAAAACAGAAAATACACATTGTTTACTTATTTGTTCGCTGCCTACTTCAGTAAGATACTGGTCAGATGAGATGTAGCAACGCGAAAAAGGCCTGCAGCAGCTGCCCTGTTACAACGCAGAAGCAAACGGGCTACACTCAAGGCTGAGATGGGAAACAACTGCTGCTGCTACGACAGTGTAGACTTTGCCCCTCTACTGATTTATCGCCTAATAAACGCACCGATCCGGGTTCGGCACGATGGTCACCTGCACAGGGACCCCGGGCCGTATTTTAGAAGTCCTTGCGTTGAACTCCTTGCAAAACGCCATCATGTTGATGCCTGCATGCAATTAGCAGCAGCAAAATGACCGTCCTGAAACCCCTCATCATATGCATGGGAATCGATGAGACAGTCTGAATGCAGTAGCTGATCCTGAAGCGCTTGAAAAGGTGGAGGGAGGGCTGAAAAGGGAAAGGGTGAATATACAAATACAGTACATAGAATAAAATATATACAATATATGTATTTTATTGTGATGCATGACGGACCCAGAGGGCCAAGCGTTTGCCCAATTGACGGCGAGGGTTTTGCATTTGCCGCCGGAACAATCAACCGAAATCTTCCCAAGTTGTTCATTGCACCATCAGTGCCTTCTTAGATTCTTCAGCGCGAAGACAGCTGAAAATGTATCCTCGGAGCCGCTGAGGCGGTGATGCGGCGAGGCTTGCAAAACCAACAAAATTATTGAACTGAAGCTTCGACCGCGTGAACGGACTGCCTCCAACTTTGTTAATCAAGCGGATGATCAGTAGAGGGCGATCAGAGGACAAACAAGCCACAAGGCGCTGAAAATCTGGAAATATTTCCGTGCAACATCGCGCGAAAAAAACATCTGCCTAAGACGGCAGGAAGTAGAAAGGCGGGTGCTGGGCTAGTGGTGGTCGGCCATCTATACAAGAAGTCTAGGGAACCTGGAGCAAACAAACTAAATTTCGAAGGAAACAGAGTTTGTTTTGTTGGTTATTTAGCAGGGCTGCCTTGCGTAGCCGCGCAGATCCTCGTCGGTAGTACAGTCTGCATGCGTTGAGGAGCCTCAGCCCGAAACACGGGCTAGAAGGAGGGGGAATTGAAGTTTAAAACAATTTAAAGCATTTCTTCGTAATTTACGTTCAACAGACATCAATATTCTTACTATTTCCGAAGTTCTCCCGCTTTCTTTCTCTCCATCGGCAGCGGGAGTCGAACGGAGGTTGTCATGGCGTGCTGCTTCCTCGGCCGCCTGCGAGGAGCTGATTGGGAATAGATCTGAAAAAGTATCCATATTTGTTTTCCTTCCTTTTTATGAAGGAGAATCTTAAATAGCTCGGAGTAGCAGCAGCGCAGATCGCCAGCAGGCGCCGGCAAGATGGCGGACCGGAAAGTTCTTGTGAAGTATTACCCGCCTGATTTCGACTTTGACAAGTTACAGGCCAAGAAGAAAGCACTGCGAATCCATCAGCAGCAGCTAAAGAGGCGCAGAGGAGATGTCTTCGACCCTCCCCAGAAAAAACATAGAAACAAAATTATGAACGTCCGCATGATGTACCCTTTCACCCTCAAATGCGGAACTTGCAGCGAATTCGTTTACGTCGGAACAAAATTCAACTCCAGAGTCGAGAAGGTCGAGGTAATTATGCCAGAAGAAGCTTCAGCATAATAAATGACTTGTTCATCAACAAGTGGTTTACTGGTCAATGATCTGCTGTTGATGTATACGTGTTTATTAACCAGTAAATGCCTTCTTCATAATCAATACATTTTGTTTGTTCACTTTTTTTTTCGCCCCCGTTTTGCTTGTTTTTGTAAGGGGGTTGCATTGTGCCTGCCTGCTTGTTCCTTCAATGTGTTCGTTTGATCGCTTAATTTGTTTCATGTTTCTGCTCTTTGCGTTGAACTGCTTATCAGGGCGAAGATTATCTGGGGATTGTTAAATGGAGGTTTTATGGTCGCTGTCCGCATTGCCGCGGCGAAATTTGTTTCAAGACAGGTCGGCGACATTTCTTCTTTTTCACTTCATCTTCTTTTCTGTTCTTTATTTGAACACTGCTTTCCTTTTCCCCCCAATATATGCGTTTGTATACCTATTGCTGTTTTGCCTTCTCTCTTTGACGCAATATATTTCGTCTTCGTTTTGATCGAGCTTCTTTCTCTTCGTTTCCCTTTCCTCTGCCGTTACGTTCTGTCAGTTTTTTTCTCTTTTGCTTTTTCCTTATCACCTCAAGCAGCTTCTCCCATACACCCAGGGCTTAGCCGCCGATTTATCTTTTCTTCATGCTTAACGTTTTGCTCGGTTTGCATTTTTGTTTTCTTAACTGCTTCATCTTTTTCTTGATTTATATTTTATTCCTTCCGTGTTTATATTTTGTTTTCCTCAAATTTTGATGTTTTCCTTATTCGTGTTTCATGTTTTCTCGTCTAGCGTTTTTGGCTTGTATAGCGCTCTTTTAATTCTAACTTTTGTTTTTGCTTCACAGATCCGCAGAACTGCGATTACGTCTTGGAGTGGGGCGGCACGAGAATGTGCGACCCGTTGCGTGACCAGGCCTTGGCTGAGGAACGCATGCAAAAGGAGGAGGTAAACAGCCTATTTGCTTACTTTTCTTTGCTATTTCAAGTCATACTTCAGATAACACCGCGTACTATTGTTTCAACAACTGCTGACGCGAGACAGCCCTCGCCTGGGTTCCTGGTTCACAACATACATACGCCTGCTGGTGGCCTATTCACATCTGGTTTTTTGATCTGTTTGTTTTTTTGTTTGTGTTGCTCATCTTCTTGTTCAGGAGGAGAAGCTGGCTACTGACAGAGTGTCACAGGTGGAGGCCTCCCGTCAGGGC